ACGGGGAAGATGGCGACAGAGAGCGACCAGAGCGCCGTGAGGGCGGACTGAGAGATGGGCTCCGAAAAACGACTGCTCCACGTCTCACTGTAGAAGTCCTCGATGATCTGAAACAAACAGACGCACACAAGTCCAACACACAAGTCCAACAAACACACACAAGTCCAACACACAAGTCCAACAAACACACACAAGTCCAACAAAAGTCACACAAGTCCAACAAAAGTCACACAAGTCCAACACACAAGTCCAACAAACACACACAAGTCCATCACACAAGTCCAACAAACACACACACATCCAATAAAAGTCACACAAGTCCAACAAAAGTCACAACACAAGTAAAAGTACATGTTTAAAAATGTACACTTGCGCAGAGTTAAAGATCTAACAAAGCTTCAAATGTCGTGATTCTGATGCAAATTTGTGCTGAATTTTGTTCAACAGAAACAAACTATAAAAAATAAAAATACTTTTCAGTCCATTTCAAAATGTTGTGGAGTAGAAAATACAAACACCTGCTCTCAAATGTTTTGAAGTAAAAGTAAAATGTACTTAAGTAAAGTACAGACACGATTTTTGTTTTTACTGAAGTACAGAACTTTAACAGCAAAAACTGAAGGGTTAAAATTTCAGGGTGAAATATTTCAGAGTTGTTTTAAACACAAAAAGTGTTATTTTAACTCTTTGAGAGTTAAATGTGTGTTGGAGTTGGGGTTATTTGTCAGAGTTGATTTGGTTGAAGTTAATTCAACTTCTCTTAGTGTTAATTTGTCTCCACCACTTCAAACTCCCTCCAGAGTAGAACCAGTTTGAACCAGTTTTGTTCATAATTTCATCATAAATTAACTCAAATAAAGTGTAAAAATAAAACCCCTCTGTGTGTTGTTGAGTTAAATCAGGATAACTCTACAAAGTGTTATCTGTTTACTCTCTAAACGTTCATTTAACTCTGGATTTGGGGTTAAACAGGAACTTTGGTCCAGTTTTACTTCATGAACATTTACACAAATGTTAAATTAACTCTAGAACAGAGTGACTCAGATAAACACTGAGAAAATGTTAAAAAATGATTCTATCAGAGTCAATTTTAACACTGCACTTTTTGCTGTGTTTGGTGCTTGTACTTTGTTACATGTCACCACTGTACAGAACAATGTGTGCGTGTGTATGAGTGTGTGTGTGTACGTTACGTGTGTGTGTGTTACGTGTGTGTGTGTGTGTGTGTGTATGTTACGTGTGTGTGTGTATGTTACGTGTGTGTGTGTGTGTGTGTGAGTGAGTGTGCGTCTGACCTTCTGCGGTGCGTTGATGACTCCAGTGTTGTATCCAAACTGCAGAGAGCCGAGGACGGCGGCGCTCACTGACAGGAGCAGGGCGGGCGTCACCTGTCGACACACAGTTCACTTCAATCTTTATTAAGAACACGTAACATCTGGTTCATAGTATTAAAAAGAAAATGGTAAGAAAAAAAAGTACCGCTTACACTCACACTTGTTATTTGTCATTATTTGTCATTAATCAACAAAGTTGAATCTGTTTTTTCATGTTTTTCTGTTTAAATGTTGTTCTTCCTTCAGTCACAGGAGCCACTGCGGCTCTCTCCATGGTTCTTTGAGTCTTAGGTTATTTATATCTGGTCTGTGAGGAGGACGTGCAGATCGTGTCTGTCAGGAGAGGGGGGGGGGGCGGCTGAGGTGAACACAACATGAAGGTTTATGGTTCAATTCCCAAACCAGGAGGGACTTTTCTCTGATGAGTTTGTCATATCAATGATGATTAAAAAAGTAAGTAAGTTTTTATTTCTATAGCTCTATGCAGACTGACTGAAGCGAGGCTGCCAATCTGCACCAACGTCCCCTCTGACCACCAACATCACTCACACACACACACAAAACACTTTCATCCAGGGCAATGTGGGTGCTTTGCCTAAGGACACAACAACAGTTTCTGTTCTGGTGCCTCCTGTGGCTCCTGATTTTCCCAGAGTCTCTGTCCAATTCCAGACCAGGACCAACCAGACCTCTGAGCTTCTCGGGTTTTGACAAACCAGTATGACCACAACACCACAATAAATAAATAATGCCAAACTGTGGAACATTTAGAGCAAAACAACTCCCAGCCACAGATCAGAAAAAAACACACGGCTCGAAGAGAGAGGAGGGAAAGAAACCAACAAACTGTCACATGACTCAATTTAAAAGATCGAGACTGAGACAAGATTGAGACCATGTCTCATCGAGACCAAATCAAGACCATCTTTATCATTTATACAGTGATGTTGGCACATCTATAATATACATATATATATATATATATATATATATATATATATATGTATATAATATATATCATAAACAGTATATACATCAATGTTTTTATAAATCTATCTCCACTTTGGAATGGAAACAAAATAAAATATTTAATGTAATGAAAATGATAACGACATAATCAAATATTAACACTGGTTTTCTTCATCTACATGTCACTGTATTGTTTCTTTTTCCCTTTTATAAATTGCCTATTAATTTGTGAATTATATTTTGTCTAACTTAAAATTTTAAAAAAGATGTCACTGTAGAGTTTTGTTTTTCTGCAGATCAGTTCCATCAGCTGCCTGTCAGTGACACAGAGACACGATCAGAGTCTCGTCTCCTATGGAAAGGCAGGTTTTTATATTTTTACTCTTTGTTATTATACTGTGATGTGTGACTCCTGGGTCCAAATAATTTTTCTTGTGGATCAATAAAGTTTGTCTAAGTTTAAGTCTGAGGCTGATGAATCCACAGTTTTATCACACCACAGTGTCTGAAACTGCACCGGAAGTCGTCATCTGCATGTTTCCAAACGTCTTCTGTAAGCGTGAAAAGAGTCAATATGCATGAAAATATCTGCATGAAGTTTTGTGTGAACACTGAAGAGAAATCTGCAGAAACGTGACGACACTGGACTTTACACAGTTTGTAGTAAAACAAATTTGTGAATGAGTTTGTACTAAGTTTTAGTTCAATAATTTTGGAAAAAATACCTTAAAAGTGCAAGATGTAATGTTTCTGTAATGTAATGTTTCAGTCGCTTTTCTCCATTTGTCTGGAATGTTCCACACTATGGCATTAAACCTTTCTATATTCATGGAGAGCAAACCAGACCCAGTTCCAGGTCAGATCTGTGCAAAGGCGACCCCACTCACAGTCAGAATGTCTGTTTTTGAGGTATTTTTGAGTTTTATAAAACCACCTGTAACTGAATAAATGTAAAGTAAAACTGTTTAAAGTTCACACTGTGGAACATTCCAGGCAGAGCAAAAACACCTCCATGGAGAAAAGCATTTCACAGACCCTCCTCTAGAAAATTACAGAGAGCAGCTTTAATCAGCTCTACATATCAGGAAAAAATATCGGTCACTGGTTCCTCTGGAGTCTAAACGTTATCGGTATCGGTTAATGAAAAAAAAATATCGGTGGATCTCCAGCCCCTGTGACCTCTCTGACCCCTGGACCTTTGACCTTAGTGCTGACCCTGTCCATAAGGTGCTTCTCCTTGTGCTGAGGTGGGACGTGGTGGACGTGAGCTGCTGTGGTTCCTCTTACAGAAGGTCAACAAGGGCAGGAGAAACACGTCCAGGTCGCACGCAAAATACAAATAAAATACAAATAAAATATAAATAAAATACTAATAAAATACTAATAAAGCCGGTTTGACTGTGAGAATCTTAAAATGAACACAAAGAACAGGAAGACCTCACGAAACAAACTGGAACGATAAAAGATTCTAGTCCGTCTCAAAAAATTTGAATAACATAAAAAATTCAAAAAGTTCCACATTTTTCTCGCTGATTTCAGAAAGTCAAACCCAAACATGAGAAAAATATGGAACTTTTTCATGATATTCTGATTTTTTCAGATGGACTAGTGGGTAACTTTTCTGGTGAAGGGTCCTTCACCTGTTTATTTCTATGGAGATGTCAATGCTCTGTTTATAATGTTCCACAGTGTGACTTTAAACAGCTCAACTTCACTTTTATTTAATTACAGGTGTTTTTAAAACTCAAAAATACCTCGAAAAACAGACTTTCTAGTTTGGGTTCCATGAAGATAGAAAGGTTTAAAGTCATACTGTGAAACATTACAGGCAAAGCGATAACATCTCCATGGAAACGAAGCATTTGTCAGAGCTTCACAATGCAGCTTTAAAATGATTAAAACATGAAGAACAAATGAACCTAACTGGACGATAACAGATTTAATTCACGTTTAATGACACAGTGCGGAACATGTGTCTGACAAGAACGTCTCCATGGTGACGGTGGAGTGTGGAGCGTGAGCAGAGGGAGCGCCTGGGTGAGTACCTGCTCGAGGCCCTCCATGGCTCTGGGGTGGAGGTCCCGCTAGAGGTCCGGTTGGAGGTCCTAGTGGAGGTCCTAGTGGTGGTACCGCTGGAGGTCCTGTTGCTGGTCCGAGTTCAGGTCCTTCTGGAGGTTCGGTTGGAGGTTCGGTTGGAGGTCTGGTTGGTGGTCCGAGTTGAGGTCCCACTGAGGTCCGGTTGGAGGTCCCGCTGAGGTCCCCCTGACACTGGCGTCCGTCGGCGTCAGGTGAGAGGACTGGTTGTAAACATCTCCATTCTCCTGCTGCTTAAGCCTCTTAACGACGTCAGAGCGACTAAGTGGATCTGCTCAGGAGCATCTGAGGAGGAGGAGGAGGAGCACCCAGCACGTAGAGAGCACCCACAGAGAGTACCCAAAGAGAGAAGAGCACCCACAGTGAGCACCCACAGAGAGGAAAGCACCCAGAGAGGAGCTACAGAGAGAAGAGCACCCACAGAGAGAACCCACAGCACCCAGAGAGAGCAAAGCACCTAGGGAGAGCACCCAGAGAGAGGACCTAGAGAGACCTAGAGAGAGCAGAGCACCCACAGAGAGAACCCACAGCACCCAGAGAGAGCAGAGGACCCAGAGAGAGGACCCAGAGAGGAAACAGGGAGAGCACCCAGAGAGAGCACACACAGAGAGAAGAGCACCCACAGAGGAGCTACAGAGAGCACCCAGAGAGAGCAGAGCACCCAGAGAGCACCTACAGAGTGAAGAGCATCCACAAAGAGAACCCACAGCACCCAGAGAGAGCAAAGCACCTAGGGAGAGCACCCAGAGAGAGAACCTAGAGAGAGAACCCAGAGAGAACCCTAAGAGAGCCGCCAAAGGGAGAGGACCTGGAGAGAGCACCTGGAGAGAAAACTCAGAGAGAGGACCCAGAGAGAGCACCTAGAGAGAACCCGGAGAGAGAACCTAGAAAGAGAACCTAGAGAGAACCCAGAGAGAGAACCTAGAGAGAGAACCTAGAGAGAGGACCCAGTGAGAGTAGGACAGATGATGGTGTGACTGAAGCACATGTGGTCAAACATTCAGGAAAAAACATTTGGAGTTTTAGTTAACAAAAGTCACACAGAGCAGAGGTTCTCAAACTGTGGGCGGGGGTCCTGGGGGGGACTGAAGTTAAACTCAATAAAAGGTGAAGTGAGGTGAAACGTCCACCAGGGGGGGGGGCAAAGCTCCTGTATCAAGAACAAGTGTTCACTGTAAAAAAAGAAACCAGAAATCTGTTTTAAAGATCGAGACTGATCTGAGCCTGAGGAACATCACAGTTTCACAGTTTCCAAACAGATTTCTTGGGCACCTTATTACATAAAAAGGAAAAGATCTCCCCATTACTGAAAATAAATCATGCACAAAATAAATTATGAGCTGCTAAAAGACTGTTCCAGTTTCCTGCATTGAAAGAAATCCATAAAATGATCAGGACAGTGTGCAATGTCCCTTTAGAAATAAATAAAATAATGACTTCAGAGCATACTGCAAATAAAAATGTGTTCATAATTTTTTTTCATTTTGACATGTTTCTAACGTATAACTACAATATTTTCTTTATTATCAGGAATAAAAACTGAAAAATTTAATTAAAAATACTAAAAACCTGAAAAGTGGAACAGTTGGATCTATTGTAAATGGAACGTGATTAAACTCAGTGCATCTTTGTCCGGTTCACAGGGAGTTTAGAGTTTAAATGTTTTGGAAAAACACAAAAGATGACGTTTGGTGTAAACAGAATTTTATTAAGAAATCTTTAATCCTCGTCCTCCTCCTCCTCCTCGTCCTGATTGATCTGGAAGTAGCGCAGCTCGTAGCTTTCCTTCGTGTTGGCCACAACTCGGAGCCAGTCACGGAGGTTGTTCTTCTTCAGGTACTTCTTGGTCAGGTACTTCAAGTATCTGTGGACAAGGGACAGTTTAGAAACGCTGACGACATGTTTTCTTCGTGCTACTGCAACATTTTTGGTAATTTTTTTCTGCGAAGGTTTGAGCTGAAAAGTTGAATTAGGATCTAGTACAATTATTTATTGCACCTGAGCAATATTTAACAATACTTTACATTTAAAATACTTTTGTGGATAATTCTGCTTTATGGTTTGGTTTCAATATTATATTATGTTGTTTATTGTTTATATTTACTTCAACTACACATCACACTTCAAAATGTGTTCTGGTGACAGGCCTATATTAGAGTCAAACATGTGGTTTGGTCCATAAACATAATTTACATCTTATTTTAGATCATCCTTAAATTAGAACATGTTTGTTGTAGAAGCTCCTGATGCAGATGAAAGTTCACTCACACCAGGACTTTAGAACTGTGCCCAAGTATGTGCCGTGCTGGACTTTGGGCCCCGGTGTGATGAGGTGGGCCAAAGCACGACACAGAGCTCATGTACTTGCACACACACGACTTTACTGTATGGGCCGTCTGTGTGTGTGTGGATGTTACTCATACGAGGAAAACAGTGAATAAACTCGACTCCAAAACACACTGCAAACCCACGCTGATCTTCAATAAGGACTGGACGGTGACAGAAGTTTTGCAGCCTCATCTCCTCCCGGCCTCACACTCCTCCTCCTCCTCCTGGCCTCTCACTCCTCCTCCTCCTCCTCCTGGCCTCACTCCTCCTCCTCCTCCTGGCCTGTCACTCCTGCCTCACACTCCTCCTCCTCCTCCCGGCCTCACACTCCTCCTCCTCCTCCCGGCCTCACACTCCTCCTCCTCCTCCCGGCCTCACACTCCTACTCCTCCTCCTCCCGGCCTCACACTCCTACTCCTCCTCCTCCCCGGCCTCACACTCCTACTCCTCCTCCCGGCCTCACACTCCTACTCCTCCTCCCGGCCTCACACTCCTCCTCCTCCTCCCGCCTCACACTCCTCCTCCTCCCGGCCTCACCTCCTCTCCTCCTCCCGGCCTCACACTCCTCCTCCTCCCCGGCCTCACACTCCTCCTCCTCCTCCCGCCTCACACTCCTACTCCTCCTCCCGGCCTCACACTCCTACTCCTCCTCCTCCCGGCCTCACACTCCTACTCCTCCTCCTCCCGGCCTCACACTCCTCCTCCTCCCGGCCTCACACTCCTCCTCCTCCCGGCCTCACACTCCTCCTCCTCCCGGCCTCACACTCCTCTGTTCTGCCATTATTTCCATAAACTCACAGAGGAGAGCACAGCAGGACTCCTCGGTCTCACTATTTTATAAATATTTCTGCCGCTGGACTTATTTTCTCACTTAAGCGTTCGCTCTGCTGTGCATCATGTAAACAAACAGTGTCGTGTGATGACGTCATCGGTCGTCATTCGGTTCTGCAGATGTGAGTGTGGAACACAGAACCCACAGCGATCTACTCGAGCACGACACAGTTCTAAAGTCGTAGAGTGAGAGCGCAGTGACGGACTGAGAAGAGTCTGAGCCTCACCTCTTGGAGAAGGGCACCTCAGAGGACACTGTGATTTTACTTTTGCTTCGCTCGATGGACACCACGCCTCCTCCCAGGTTCCCCGCCTTCCCGTTCACTTTGATCCGCTCCTGAAGGAACTGCTCCTGCACAGAAAACGTGCACGGTCATAGCCGACCTCCCGAGAGACAACGACCCAGAGGAAAGAGGACTTACAAAGTTGGCGGCGTCCATGATTCCGTCCTCCACAGGGTGAGTGCAGTCCAGAGTGAACTTCAGAAGCTGCTTCTTCTTCTTGCCGCCTTTGCCCACGTTCGGTTTCCTCTGCTGCAAAAACACACGTCAGACACAAGAAATAACAACTACAAACTACAACAGACACCACAAGCCCAGCTCCCTCTGTGTGTGTGTGTGTCTGTGTGCAGAGGACGTTTGTGTGCACTTGGTCTGCATAAGATCTACTGTGTGTGACTGTGTGTGACTGTGTGTGACTGTGTGTGACTGTGTGTGTCTGTGTGTGTCTGTGTGTGTCTGTGTGTGTCTGTGTGCAGCTGATCCACTGTGTGATAAACAGGTTGAGTGTTTTTATCTAGTACGTTTGTGTTTTCTTCTAATCAGACAAATTATAAAAAGCTCAACAGTTCATGTACCTGACGTGTTTAATCTGGTGTTTTTACGCTAATGCTAAGTGTTAGCCGCAGGCTCTAATCGTGCCTCGTACAAAGCCTGATTTCGTGACAAAGCGCAAACTTTCCTCTGCACCGCGCACATTCCCGCAGAGCCCCGTGTTTCGCCTCTTTGATTCTGCTCAGATCTTTATTAAATCTTCATTAAAAGCAGTAAATTAATGAACACGCGTTCGAGCTTCGTACTTACAAGAGGCGCCATGGCGGAGAGTCCGCAGAGAGGAAGCACGCAGGGCGCATGCGCAGCTCACGGTCACTCTGATAAATAAAAACATTATTAAAAGTGATAATAAATCCACTGGGGACTGTCTCTGCTCCAATAAGACATGAGAACTATTAAAAATATACTTCTGTGATTTAATTTAAATTGTTGTTGTTTTGGCTCGGAGTGACAGCTCTCGCGAGGCTACGGTGAGGGACGCAAACCTCGCGAGAGTCCCGTCGGGCAGGAGGTTCATCATGGCAGGCGGTAAGTTGGTGCTGGAGGGAAGAGTTAGTGTCAGAGCCTTTGTTTTAGGACTCAGCGTCGTCACGATCCCGCTCATCCGGACCTTCTTTGGACGCGCGGACTGGGTCTTTGACTATCTCACGGAAACGCCCGGGAAAATCGCCATTTGTCTGCACATAGCGCTGATCAATGGCCTGCTGCTGCTCACGTACAGGGGACCTCTGTATAAGGTGAGTCCAGAGCGCACACCTGTCCTACACCTGTCCTACACCTGTCCAAACCTCTGTCCCACACCTGTCCTACACCTGTCCCCACCTCTGTCCCCTCCTCTGTCCCCTCATCTCTGTGTGTTTGTGCGGGTTTCTTCTCTCATGCGGGTGCTGGGCGCCTGGTGCTGAGTCCTGGAGCGGATGGACTTGATCTTCTGTAATCTCTAAATCCCTGTGAGGAGACACCAGATATAGAGCCTCTAAGCTGGAGCTGGACTCTTCCTGTGGACTGGGGCGGGTCTCGTGTCTTTACCTGTTGGTCACGTGTGCTCTGTGCGCAGTGTTGGGAAGTTTACTTTTTAAAATGTATTCCCCTAAGCAATGATCCTCTATTTCTGTTGCTTGGTGTAATTGACCCCGTTGTAGGTTAGGTTAAGTCGCTTTATTCGTACCCGTAGGTAAATTTGCTTTGCAGATTTGAGAGGCAGGTTCCACATTTCACATTTCATTCATCCACAAAACAAACAAACAAAATAAAGTGTTACAGATGCTCCAGTGCAGAACGGTTTGTTCCATAAACAACCAATTAAAATCATCCATCACGCTTGGCTAAAATCACAATAAATATTAAATATGTTAAAAACACACAATCTTAGATAAATAGATTACAATTTATTCATAAGTTCGACAGCAGCCGGAACGAAGCTCCTTTTAAAACGATTCGTTCTAGATCTTGGGACTAAAAGCCTCTGACCAGAGGGAAGCAGCTGAAACTCTGAGTTTAGTGGATGTTGCTCGTCTCTTAAAATCCTCTGGGACGTCGTCTGTAACTGTCCTGAGTCCAGAGAGTCCAGCGGCTCTGAGGATGAACGATCACCTACTCGCCCATTTAACCGACTGATTCAGGGAGTTTGTGTTTTTAGCAGAAATGCTCCAAACCACGAGACCAAAGAAAACGTTAAAACTGATTCCATAAATGTTTTATAAAACAGTGTCATCATGGTTCTGTCTACATGGTAAAAGGAAAACTTTCTCAGACAGTGAAGGTGCTGGTGCCTTTTTTACACACACCAGAACAATTATTGTCAAAACTCAATTTTGAATCAATGATTGTTCCAAGATATTTATATGAGTCACACACTTGACTGACTGAACCTGTTGTAAAAGATAAATATAATAGAAAATTGTATGGGATGCTGACTTTTTGTGCCAGAAAAAGTCGACTAGTGAATTGGATATGTGACAAGACCCCCACTAAAACTCCATGGCAGAAGGTGGTTCTTGGTTTTGTTTCTCTTGATTACCTGACGTGTCGGCTTCATCATAAGGACAATGTCTTTAAGAAGATTTGGGAACCATTTTTGATATATACTGGACTTGAGATCTCAGATATTATGAACAGGTTATTTACATTTTGAAATGGCTGTATCTGTGTCTAACATATGAATGGGCCTTTGTTTGTTTGTTTTGTTTAATTTTGCTTGTATTGCTTATATTGTTATTTTGTTGATTATTTAGTTTAAACTAAAAGGCAATAAATATATATGCAAAATATAGATTGTAACGAAATCCAGTAAGTTACTTAAGGTGAGTAATGTAATCTGATTACTTTGGATTACTTGATTTGCTGTAGAGAAACAAAGACTCGGATATTGTAACATAAGAAGTTTTGTCTGATAAAAGAAAATAAAAAGTCCAGACTTTACTTAAACATATTAAAAATCTTATTGATTGAAGAGGAGGAGACACGTCCACACAGCAGGATTTAGTCCTGTTAAATCCTGTTTGAGACCTGGTTTAGTCCTGGTTTTAATCCTGGTTTAGACCTGGTTTAGTCCTGGGTTAGACCTGGTTCAGACCTGGTTTAGTACTGGTTTTAGTACTGGTTTAGTCCTGGTTTTAGTCCTGGTTTAGACCTGGTTTTAGATCTGGTTTTAGACCTGGTTCTAGACCTGGTTCAGACCTGGTTTAGACCTGGTTTAGTCTTTGTTTAGTCCTGGTTTAGATCTGATGTAGACCTGGTTTAGTGTCCGGCAAAAAAGAGGGATTTAGCCCAAAATGTGAAAACGGTAAAATCCCTCTGTATAATCCATTAATTTGAACAAAGTAACTGTAATCCAATTACCACTCCCTGAAACAGTAACTGTAACTGAATACAGTGACTCATCATTTGTACTCTGATTACATGTAATCTGTTACTCCCCGACACAGGTCGCTCTGAGGGCCTCGTTCCTGGGGCTGGTGTTTGGTTCTGGTCTGATCATCAGTCTGTCTGAAACCAGCTGGACTCACTTTGGCTGGTAAGAGTCACACGAACATCACCGATAAACACTGGAGGAACAGTTGAACAGTTGAACAGTCAGAGGACACATGACTCTCACGCCGCGTTAAAAGTCAGAAGTCAATATTATTATTATTTAACTCCAGAGATGTTGGGGAGTGTTCTCTCTGTTCTGAAATCATTTACACACGTTTAATAAATTACACAAGAGGAATGTGTCCGGTTTATGGATCCAGTTCCAAACAAATAATCAGAAAGTTCAACATTTGTGGATCAGAAGTTTGTAGATTTATTTAAAAAACTGAGAATCTCCCTCAGAGTCTCAGCTTCCTGTTTGATGCAACATTTGGAGGACTTTTTTTTGTTTTTTAAAGGTCGCACATGACGCCAAACTGTCTCCTTTGAACTTTAAGTCCTGTTCTAATGCTGTTCCCTCCTCAAAAACAAAAACAGACCTGGAGTTTTGTTTCATTCACACGTTTTGAGTCTTTTATTATGAGTCTGTTGACATCTACAAAGCTCCAAACACTCTGTTCCACCTTGTGATGTCATGAGACGGTGGTTTTCAGCTGAACAGCTCCTTTTCATACCGTTTAGTTCAGTAGAATAAGTTTGTAGTCCCAAGGCTGAAATGAATCCCGGCTCAAGCGTCCCCCTGGCTTGAAAGTCCCAGGTTAAGTGTTCCATTCTCTCGCCACCGCGTCTGCACTGTGATGTGTTGAGTTAGAAAATCAGCTTCTTTATCAAAATAAAATGAAATGTGAATGTATCAGACCAAATGTCAGACCTTGTTTATGTGATTTTACTGATTTTCCCAAAGTGGCACACATTTTTTCAGTCTGTAACATCAGTATAATCCTCATGTTGTCACAGAACTTTACTATTAAATCATATTTAAAATTATTTTTTCTTGTTCCCCACGTCCTACAACATCTGTAACTGTTGATGTGGGAAGAAATATGAATTATTTCCTGACCTGCTGTGAACATAATTTATAAGCAGCGCGACACAAGGAACTTAGAAATCCCCATAATTAGTTTTTTACATAATTCAGAATCACTTTTTGGAAGCTCTTAACTCGGTATTTCATTGAAAAATGTCAGATAAAATCCTGAATATAGTTGTGGTGCTCCCTCCTGCTCACCAGTGCTGATTGACTGATGTCATGTCCAGATGATTTAGATGAACTCACTTAGTTTTATAAAATGCACAGTTCAGGGGGATTTTCCATCTGATTTCTGCTGAAAATGATCCAAATGATTCCAGTGAAGGTTTGTCGAGTGTGACATCACGAGGTGGAACAGAACGTTTTCAGTTTGAGAGAAAAACTCTGAAGCCAAAATGTGCAGGTTTGTGAGTTAAACATGTGAATGAAACAAAACAAAACTCCAGGTCTGTTTGTGACGAAGAAACTAATAATAATTTATAACATAAATCAGAAAATATCATAATATGGACCTTTTAAATTGTCGATTATTCTAGAACATCTCTGCAGTCTGTGTTGTTTTTTGTATCGTTTTTGTGTCATTTTTGTGTCGTTTTCTTGTCATTTTTGTGGGTGTTTTTGTGTCATTTTTGTGTCATTTTTGTGGGTGTTTTTGTGTCATTTTTGTGGGTGTTTTTGTATATTTTTGTGTGGTTTTTGTGCTGTTTTTGTGTGGTTTTTGTCTTGTTTTTGTGTCGTTTTTGTATCGTTTTTGTGTCATTTTTGTATCGTTTTTGTCAGTCATTGAGGTCTCTTCCTTCAGTCCGTTGTCTTCCTCAGGTACATGTGTTCTCTGTCCTTCTTCCATTACTCGGAGTATCTGGTGACGGCCTTGATAAACCCGCGCAGTTTGTCTCTGGACTCGTTTCTCCTGAACCACAGTCTGGAGTACAGCCTCGCCGCGCTCTCCTCCTGGCTCGAGTTCACCGTGGAGAAACTCGCCGTCCCAGGTACAAGATCTACTCCAGGACTAAACCAAGACTAAACCAGAACTAAATCTAGATCTAAACCAGGACTAACATCAGGACTAAACTGGGACTAAACTGGGACTAAACCAGGACTTAAACCAGGACTAAACCAGATCTAAACCAGGACTAAACCAGGACTAAAACCATTACTAAACCAGGACTAAACCAGGACTAAACCAGGACTAAACCAGGTCTAAACCAGGTCTAAACCATTTCTAAACCAGTTCTAAACCGGGACTAAACCAAGTCTAAACCAGGACTAACATCAGGACTAACATCAGGACTAGAATCGGGTCTAAACCAGGACTGAGCTGGGACTAAACTCGGGACTAAACTAAACTCGGGACTAAACTCGGGACTAAACTCGGGACTAAACTCGGGACTAAACTCGGGAAACTCGGGACTAAACTCGGGACTAAACCAGGACTAAGGACTAGGTCTTTACCTACTCTAAGGGGAAGTTCACGTTCACCCTCTGATGTGTCAAATGATCTTTAAACTCTGGGGTTGTGTTGTTATGATCTGATCTTTTAAAGTGGAGAAAACCGAGTTAAATCGGACTCGTATTAAAGTCCGTGTTGTTCTTCTGTTGGTGCTCAGAGCTGAAGCAGCTGACGTGGATCAGCGTGGTGGGGCTGGTGATGGTTCTGTGTGGAGAAGCTCTGAGGAAAGCCGCCATGTTGACCGCCGGCTCCAACTTCAACCACATTGTCCAGAACGAGAAGGCCCAGAGCCACGTCCTGGTCACCAGCGGAGTCTACGCCTTCTTCAGACACCCGTCCTACGTGGGCTGGTTCTACTGGAGTATAGGCACTCAGGTGAGCTTCAGGAGAGCTTCAGAAACACACAGGCTCAGAAACGGGATATTCATCTTATTCTGAAAGTTTGTGAAATCCCGTTCAGATCCAGAGCAAAGGAGAAATTCAGTTAACTGGACAAAAGTTGACAGAAAAAAAAACAATAAACTTTTGTCCAGTCGACAGAAGAGAATTTCTCCTTTTTTATTCTTAAGTTGCCGTGGACGCCACAGTCACTGAGGTGGTTTTATTTTGCACAGAGCTGCAGATCTCACTGTCAGTATGTTCAGTCCAGACTCTAACGGCGTTTTAAAGCCTCAGAGATTGACTGCAGTGACACGTGTGGGTCACATGAACACTGAACATTTTACACAAATGACTTTAAGATGCAAAACATTTCTTAAATTCTCCAGTGAAATGAGGACAGAATAGACAGGACAGAATAAGGTGAATAGATATGAAATTATCTTGTTATGTTTTTATGGTTTGCTGCATGGAGACCAGACCAATCCTGAAATCTAAACTGTTGTCCCAAATCCCGAATCCGGCCCTAAACGTCCCGAAAATGACACGACTGAGTAGTTATTTTCTCATAAACATTAAAAACTGTTGGCAGAGGTTGAGTTGACTGCATCCAACCTGACCTCTGCTGCCTCAGGCCCTGACGGTTTCTAAGCGGCTGCTGCAGCTCCGCCTCCAGTCAATCTATTTTATTTATTTTTTGACGTTCTACGTTTTAGAAGTGAATATGCAACATGACAATAAGCTCATTTTCATTCATCTGGCTCAAACCTTTTTTGTGGTCATATCAGTTTGTCAAAGTCTGATCCCGTCAGATCTCAGGAGCTCAGAGTCCAGGTCTGGTCTGGACTTGGAGACTCTGGGAAAATCAGGAGCCACAGGAGGCGCCAGTCGTAAAAACTGTTGTTATGTCCTTAAGCAAGACACTTCACCCATATTGCCTAATATGAAAGAGGTGTGTGTGAGTGAGTGATGGTGGTCGGAGGGGCCGATGGTGCAGATTGGCAGCCGCGCTTCAGTCAGTCTGCCCCAGGGCAGCTGTGGCTACAATAGTAGTTTACACCACCGGGTCTGGAGTGACTGAAAAATGCTGAATAATGTTCTGTAAAGAGTCTTTGTGACAAATGTTTGTGAAAAGTGCTGTAGAAATAAAGACTTACTTATTTACTTTTTTCAAACCTGTCATAAACTTTAAAATTCATCTTTTATTATTGTCCCCTTCCTTAGAAAAATGTAACACTGTCCCAAATTTCAACCAGTCTCACCTGGTCACCGAATTTCTGCAGTGTCATAAACACTTTTCACAGTACTGAACCTGTCTAAACCCCTGCCCTGTCTGTGTGTCTGCAGGTGTAACCCCGTCTGTATCGTTTGTTTTATTATTTGTTTTTTGTGTTTCTTTAGGTGATCTTGTGTAACCCCGTCTGTATCGTGGGTTTTATTATTTGTTTTTTGTGTTTCTTTAGGTGATCTTGTGTAACCCCGTCTGTATCGTGGGCTACACAATAGCGAGCTGGCGTTTCTTTCGAGAGCGAATCGAGGAGGAGGAGCTGTCCCTGATCCACTTCTTCGCCGAGGACTATGTGGAGTACAAGAAGAAGGTGCCCACGGGACTTCCCTTCATCTCGGGCATCCGCGTGAACTAGCCCCGCCCCTGCCCCGGCCGCTCGGACACTACACGGCGCTGGGCCCGGACACGTCACTGTGCACTTTTGCATGTCTGCGCTCACGTTCCACGGACCGCGGCGGTGCAGCTCAGAGCTTCTCTCGGCTCCTGTAGCAAACGGACGGAGCAGAAGAGACGCCGCTTTAAAAAAAAAAAAAAAAGGACCTCTGTCTGTAGTTCCACGTCTCCGTCTCTAGAGGGAGTGAATCGTACGAGTGCACACTTCAGACTGTAGCTCGGCCTCTGTGGCTCTCAGGTCACGTCCACCTCACTTCACTGGAGTCTGCAACGCCTCTGTGTGTGTGTGTGTGTCTGTGTGTGTGTGTGTGTGTGTCTGCGTGTGTGTGTGTGTATCAAGATGTGTGTAAAATCCCTCAGTCGTCCAGGTAGAATCCACAGCAAAGGAGAAGTTCAATTTGTCAACTGAACAAACATTTATTTAGGTCAAAAACATTTCTCGGCTCCTCTAAGCTGCTCCTTCAGTTTTATCTGTCTGAAGGGAGGAGCTAACTACACTGAAACTACTCTGAAACTCACACACGCACTTCTTTATACAGTTTGTGTTTGTAGCTCGGCCTGTTCATGCTTCCGTCACAAACGACTGGACAAATGTTTAATTCTTCTTCAGTTGTGGTCAGACGCTGGTGGACACTTCCTTATATCTGCCTAATGGAGCTAACTACACTGAAACTCCTCTGAAACTCTATAAACAAGTGTGTGTTAGTTTCAGTTCGTAGCTCGGCCAGTAATCTCTATTCGCACTTCCGTCACAAACCTGGAAGACGTTTGGAAACATGATTACAACTTCCTTATGGGTTCTGTCCCTGGTCGTAGGTCTGACAAAATGTAGGAAAAATGAGAAAATGTCCCAGTTTTCTTCATCTCCATGTTGTTGTGTCGTTCCATTCTGTTCAGCTGATCAACATTTCCAGCCACACCTCAGTTTTCATCATTTTTCCGCTGACAGACGACTCCGATCGCACTGGGAACATGTGACTAGAAGAGACGAGATGATTCCAAACAGCTCATACGTCTGCAGGCTTCATTTTACCACTGACACGTTTACTTCAAGTTTCACCGCATGTTTCCAAACGTTTTCCTGGTTTGTGACGGAAGCGTGAATAGAGACGATCGGCCGAGCTACAAACACAAACTGTAAACAAGTGTGTGTGTGTTAGTTTCAGAGGAGTTTCAGTGTAGTTGGCTCCTGCAGACAGATATAAGGAAGAGTCACCAGCGTCTGACCAGAACTGAAGAAGCAGCTGAGAAACATATTCATAAACGTTTCTCCAGTCGACAAATTGAGTTTCTCCTTCGCCGTGTGTGTTTGAGGGGGGCTCTGTGTGTGTGTGTGTGTTTGAGGGGGGGGGCGCAGTCTGCTACACCTGTGTATTTGTGTGTGAGAGGAGTGTGTGTGTGTGTGTGTGTGTGTGAGGGGGACAGTGTGAGGGGGGCTGTTGTACTCAGGGGTCCCACGGTCATGGAAATCCTGGAGAAGTCATGGGAATTTGAAATTTAGTAAATTCAATGAAAGTTTTAGCAAAGTCATGGAATTTCAGTCTGTTTTCCTGCAGCTCCAGTGTTTGTGTTCAGTTCTCATGAGTCTGTTCTGATTATTTGTGAACGTCTGAGTCTTTTGTTTAAAAGAGACGACAGTAAATAATAATAAAAGCACTGACAGGATTTAGAATGTTCAAAAACTATAATCCCAAACCATAAGGTGAGTGGAAAGAGTCACATTTCAGATTTAGACCTAAAAGTCTGATCAGTTCTACACATGTAGGAGCTGGAAAGTCCTGAAAAATTCACTTAAGCTCATGAAAAAGTCATGGAAAAAGTTGTGAAATTTTGTCAGTGACAAAAGTGGGAACCCTGAGAACTGAACCACAGCCCCAGTCCAAAGACCCTCGGAGAGTCCAGACCCTCGGAGAGTCCAGACCCCCGGAGAGTCCAGACCCCCGGAGAGTCCAGACCCCGGAGAGTCCAGACCCCCGGAGAGTCCAGACCCCGGAGAGTCCAGACCCCCGGAGAGTCCAGACCCCGGAGAGTCCAGACCCCCGGAGAGTCCAGACCCGCCCTCTGCTTTTGTCTGTGTTTTTAGGGGACCTTTGCTGTCGTGTGGATGAGCTCATTTAAAATGTCATTTTTTCCTGTGGTGTGAAAGAGGATTTGCTGTATTTATCAGAGCAGGGATCGGACGGTTGCTGGCTTGCTTCAAAACTTAAAAACTAGGTTTACATACATTTGTAACGTTCCTTATTATAAGATATGAAAAAAAAAACTGAACTTTTCATATGTTCCAAATGGTCTGTTCTTGAAATGATCCACTGATCCAGGTTTATCAAGTATAAGGTCGTCTTAAAGCTGCATTGTGTAACTTTTCACTAGTTTGTTTCTATGGATACGTCATTCCTTTGTCTGGAATGTTCCACAGTGTGACATTAAGCAGCTCTACTTTACATTTATTCAATTACAGGTGTTTTTCCAGCTCAAAATTACCTGGAAAAACAGACATTGTAACTGTGAGTGGGGTCGCCTCTCCACAGATCTGACCTGGAACTTGGTCTGGTTTGGTCAGGTTTTGGTTAGAAAGGTTTAATGCCGTACTGTAGGTCGATGAGGCCTCAAGGTGCCATCTGGTGGTTTAAAAAATGACCTGTTTCCTTTGCAGACGCGTCACAGACTCGATCCTTCAGACACGTGAACACGTCTGACGCTCTGAGATCAACACACGAAAGAACCGACCACGAAACTGATGCAGAATCAAAGAAAATCACAGCCGACTGGATAATAAACTCAAATACGTGACACATGACGAGGTGAAAATGAGAGTAAAAAGTAAAATACTGTAGTTGTTTGAGTAAATCTGTAGTGAGCTCCACTTTGGACTCACCTGGAGTGGACCTGGGATGGACCTGGGATGGACCTGGGCTGACCTGGAGTGGACCTGGGCTGGACCTGGGCTGGACCTGGAGTGGACCTGGGCTGGACCTGGAGTGGACCTGGGATGGACCTGGGGTGGACTTGTGTAGTAGTCGAACATTATAATCGATCGTACAAAGTCACTGTAGTTGAGTCAGTTTTTGAGACGACTCTAGTTTATTTTGTAGATTTTAAACCTGTAGTTGTTCTTGTCATTAAGTCAAATCTGATCCTGATTCTTGTCAGAATGGTGGATTTGACTGAAAATCTGTGTGCTACAGTTTTCCTTTCATGTTTCACCTGCTCAGGAGCTTCAAAACTCCTTTTATCAGACAGTGGATATAAAACATTCATTTAAGAAAGAAAGAAAGAAAAGTCCTCTACCTCTTAAGACATTAAAGTTTTATTTATTATCGCGTGCTTTGATATGTCAACATGATTCTCAATCCCTGGAGGATGTCTGGGGTGAGGGAAGTCTGGAGGTCCCGACTGCTGCCCCTGTGAGCGGCACATCACAGTGTGAAGAGCAGGTGACCGCTGAACGTGTTGTGGTGATGGTCGTTGTCGTGAAGTTTGCGGCCGCAAGGTAAAACGACATAAACCACATCTCCAAGGTCCAGAGAGAGTGAGACTGCGTTCCCCGCAGAGGTGGACCCGCCCTCACTGCTCTCATGGGCCATAAACACACCACACCCGTTCTTCATCAGATAAGCTTCAGCTGGATGACTACAGCACTGCGCAAAAAATTGAAAGTGGTACACTCCTTTAACCGGAGCTGTGAAGATGCCTGCAGGAGGTTTTGAACAGAATTATAAAGACGAAGCTTGGAGTTTTTTGTTTAGGTTCATTTACCTGTTACTGGGTTGTAGCCATTTCCAATGTTTGTAGTAACATATTTATACACAAGAGTCGTATCAGCATTAAACGGTCCAAACATCTGATCACCTTTCTCCAGCAACGCAGCAGAGAAAGCCACTTTCTTCACTGAAAAGAGACATTAGGACATTAAGAACAGTATTTATTAAGATAAACCATAGACGTGTTGTTACTCCCCTCGATTTTAAACGAGGCTCAAAATCATTCTTTGGTTTTAACAAACATTTATTCAGACAGGAGTCGTCCACATGTCTTCACACGTCTCAATGCCGACACAGTCAGAACTATAGAAAAGAACAAATCAAACCAAAATAAAATGGAATTAATTAACATGAACTTACTGAAAAAACAACTTATTTATTACTATATATTTATTTGACTAAATAATTAATATGAATATTACAAAGCGTGTGTGTGTGTGTATAAATATATAAACCGGCCTGCTTCTTGACTCCCCTTGTTTTTCAGCAGCTTGAGCTCATTTCAGTGTAATGTGAAATAAATAATAATAATAATAATAATAATAATAATAAAAACAATAATAAAAAAAACAATAATAAAAAAACAAAAAAACATACACACAATACTACTACTAATAATAATAATACATACATACATACATACACATATATACATATTCTTCTAAAGTGTAGAAGTTTACCCTGGTTTTCAGTCTGAAGCTCCTTCACCTCGGCTCGTAGCTGCAGAAGTTCCGCATGCAGCTTTTTGACGTCCAGGGAGGAATCCTCAGCATCATGAGAGCTGTTGTTCCCCATGTTTGACAGAGTGGCTCTGTGCTTCACTCTGTGTTTTTATTTCAGAACTTGGGCGTGTTCTCCTGATCTGCACTGTCATTGTTATACACAGTGTGACCAGCAGAGGGCAGAGTGAGTCTCTGGCACTTCCAGTAAATGAACAGGACACTTTTTAGTCCCATGGTCGTGTCAGCTCGACGGCTGCACGGCAAAAAAAATTATAACTAGTTCAAAAGACGTTGTCGATATGTACAATGTTAATTCCAGATAGTCAAAGTGTTTAAATGTTAAAAGGATTTGCCATAAACAGTCTGTATAAGAGAAGTTCTAAGAGACAGTGGTGGAGTTTACAATTTGGGGGCCCTAGGCAATGTTTTTTTGTTTTATTGTTTTTATGTTTGTCTGTTTTTCCCCATCCCCACACGCACAGCTCTATTTGAATTATGTTGGATTAGAAACTTTTCTTATTAGTTCAGTCTCCTTTTAGAAAACCAGAACTAAAAGTAGTTTTGTTTTTTTGCCAGTACAATTACAGTTTTGTTTACATCCATTACATACGATTATGATTCTGCTGTGATTCTGTTCAAATCAGGGTCAATGTGACGAGTCCATTCTAACGTGACGAGGGAAATTCTTTGACAGTAAGAATGGATTTGACAATCAGATACTTGATGTTTTCTCATTTAAAAGTAAAAATACTCTCATTTAAAGTCATACTGAGAGAAAATCAAATTGCTCTGAGGCCTCAGTCGTTAGTAGCTCTGAGGGACATTGGTTGGGGGCCCCTCCAGGTTCGGGGGCCCCTCGCTGGACGCTTACTGTTGCCTAATGACAGCTCCGCCTCTGCTAATCGAGTGTGTCGTCGTCTCCACAGAGTTCAGCGCAAACGAAGCTCCCGTTGCCGCAGTTACAGGCTCAATATTTGTAAATCTGCCGCGAGTCTCATAGCAACACAAGAGCCAATCACGACGGAGGAGGTTAAATGTCCCGCCCTTCTCAGCGGAGAGCAGGAAGGAGTGCACAAGCTGTCAATCAAACCTGTTGCTAACACTAGTGGGAGGGGCCTCGGGGAATGAAGGCGTCTGATTGGTCCGTTATTTATGTTCAAATTTAGATTTAGGGACAAAATAGAGAAATAAAAAATTCATGATCCTGTGTCATAATCTGAACATTTAAGAGCAAACTGCCGAGGCCAGAGTCAGAAGGAGCACTTCCTGTTTGGAACGCGGTGGATAAAGTGTTAGTTGTGTCCATTTCTTTATACGGACTCTGAAAGTGACGCACACAGAGACACAGAGACACAGAGACACAGCTCCACACGCGTCACTCTGAGCGCTTTGACGACTCGACTCGTTTGGCCCATCACTAATAATATATATAAAGAGCAAAACTTTCTTCAACAGAACCAACACAATCACACATCATTTAAATATTATAACCATTTATTTTTAGATTTTTTTATACTAAGATAAAAAAGTGAATCCATAAACGACATAATCCTCCTTTTGGTCCGTTCTCCAGGTCAGGTCCATCTCAGTCTGTTCATCTTTAAAATCCAGGTCTGTGCGCAGAAGTCCGACCGTCACGTGTGCAAATACTCGAGTAAAGTCTGTTTGAGGAGCAGCGTTTAAAGTTCAACCCAAACCTGACGCTCATCACCTCCTCTGACTCGAGAAGAAAGTGGAGATTTTGCTTTGAGTTTTCACTGGAGCTGGAAAAGAAAAACACGAGAGCTTCAGTGAGTCGTTTAAGAAAGACACAGACAAACAGATCTATTTTGTTGTTGCCTCATATTGTGTCTAAACTCACCAGAGTGACCAGAGTGACCAGAGTGACCAGAGTGACCAGAGTGGTCAGTGTTTATTAGTGCAGGAGTTTCCTCCGAGTCGTCGGTGCAGCGGCCGATGAGCGACTCCAGCAGGTTTTTAAACTGTTGTTTGTGACGAGGACGAAGGAACATCCCAAAACCTGAGACACACAAAGAGTCACACGTTACACAAAACACACTGTGTGTAAAGGACTGTGGAGTGTGACCAGAGACTGTGTGTAAAGGACTGAGGAGTGTGACCAGAGACTGTGTGTAAAGGACTGAGGAGTGTGATCACAGACTGTGTGTAAAGGACTGAGGAGTGTGACCAGAGACTGTGTGTAAAGGACTGAGGAGTGTGATCACAGAGTGTGTGTAAAGGACTGAGGAGTGTGATCACAGACTGTGTGTAAAGGACTGAGGAGTGTGACCAGAGACTGTGTGTAAAGGACTGAGGAGTGTGATCACAGAGTGTGTGTAAAGGACTGTGGAGTGTTAACACAGAGTGTGTGTAAAGGACTGAGGAGTGTGAACACAGAGTGTGTGTAAAGGACTGAGGAGTGTGATCACAGAGTGTGTGTAAAGGACTGAGGAGTGTGATCACAGACTGTGTGTAAAGGACTGAGGAGTGTGACCAGAGACTGTGTGTAAAGGCCTGTGGGAGTGTGATCACAGAGTGTGTGTAAAGGACTGTGGAGTGTGATCACAGACTGTGTGTAAAGGACTGAGGAGTGTGATCACAGACTGTGTGTAAAGGACTGTGGAGTGTGATCACAGACTGTGTGTAAAGGACTGAGGAGTGTGATCACAGACTGTGTGTAAAGGACTGAGGAGTGTGACCAGAGACTGTGTGTAAAGGACTGAGGAGTGTGATCACAGACTGTGTGTAAAGGACTGAGGAGTGTGATCACAGAGTGTGTGTAAAGGACTGAGGAGTGTGATCACAGAGTGTGTGTAAAGGACTGTGGAGTGTGACCAGAGACTGTGTGTAAAGGCCTGTGGGAGTGTGATCGCTGTTACAGTTTAAATACTGTCGATTTGAGCTCCTGAGACACACATGGGATAAATTTTGCATCTTGGAATCTGCTCGCACAAATATGATCCTTTAATCCTGCATGAACAGCCTCCCTCAAAGTTTTTGGCACCAAGTCCAAATTTGTTGCCAGTTGGTGAAGTTTTTCCAAATGCTGCAGTGAAGCTGCACAGTCCTGAGTGAGCTGGGGGAGTGTGTGCAGCAGATTCCAAAACACAAAGCTACTACTGTTTGGGAGTGAACGGCTCAACCTGAAAAACACAACAAAAATAAAACATTCAGTATAAAATCTTGATCTGTTTCTTTACATTCTATGAAATTTTGAGGTTATTTAAACAAGAATTGCAAAAATTATTGGCCTACTAAATGATGTCCATTTTTTTGGGACCCCCTGTAGATTCACGGTGTTCACCTTCAACAATCGATTAAAGAAGGCGCCTGATTGGTCTGTTATTCATGTGTGTAATTTACGGACAAAACAGAAGAAAAAAACCCCAGGATCATGTAGCGCGGCTTAATAGAAATATTTTAAGACTAAAATGACGACGCTCACAGCAGCAGGTACAGAGAGAGAGGAGTGTGACATTTGGAGCCGGAAGCGCGCCCATGCTCACTTCTTATTTGGAGCTTTTGTCCCTTTCTAAATTCCGTCTGTGTTGACCTCGTGTACATCGTTGGTGTTGGTGTAAATGGTGGACGTACGTTTCAGGAGGTGGAAGTCCTGGTCCCTCTCGGTCAGGAGGCTCACCACGACGCTCAGCAGCTCCTCGTAACGCTCCGTCTGCTTGTAGCTGCGGACGGCCTGGAAGAGCCGAGCCGATTTCTCCGCTCCCAGAGCCGCCTTCACGTCCGCCAAGAACGAGGCGTGGACCGAGGTGTTCGGGGCAGACGCTGGAACAAAAACACAACAAAAATAAAGTCTGGTTTTAATGAGTTATTAGAGCAGAGGAAGTGTGGGGTTCATACCGGTCTGTGAGTGCGTCAGACCTCCACACGTCAGCTGCTCCTGGCCCTGGTTCAGCTCATGGGTGCTGAGCTGCTGGGTGCTGAGCTGCTGGGTGCTGAGCTGCTGGGTGCTGAGCTGCTGGGTGCTGAGCTGCTGGGTGCTGAGCTGCTGGGTGCTGAGCTGCTGGGTGCTGAGCTGCTGGGTGCTGAGTTTGGCGCACGAGGACGACTGCTCGGTCAGCGCGTCTGCAAAAAAGAGAAGGTCACGATGTCAACACTGGAGAACTTGCTTTCAGTCTGACGCTGCGTTCATGTGCTCCTCACGGTTCCTCGTTTGTGTTCACGAGCTTTTATCTCAGAAAGTCTGGATTTTGATGTGACCATGAGAAAAGTATTTAGAAGTATTTAAAAGAGGATACGAAGTGTTGTCTTCTAAACGTGAGCTTCTTTGTTTGACTTTTGCTCGTTAACGTTACAGGATTGAGCCTCTGTTCCCTCAGCTTTATGTCCCCTCATTTTTTTTCTTTCCAAAATTAGGTTCCCACATTTCCTTTATCATCAATTTGCATCAGATTTTATCCTCATTTCTCTCAATTTAGTCACCAATTACACCAAAACTATTCTCCAGCAGCAGCTCACTACAGATGTGATGTGGAGGTCACGGTGCAAAAGACCAGAGGTTAAAATGACTCTGAATCATCCATTTAAATGTGGAATAAAAATAAAAATGACTTGACTTAGAGTTTTATTTTGAGAAATTTTTGAAATGAGGGAACATAGAGCTGACCCCAGTGTTCCATCAGTAATGATTTAAACTTTTGTATTCTGGGTTTTTGTGTTGATCTGTTGCCGTTTTGATCCTGATAACTCACATTAAACCTCTGAATGTAAAAACGTGTCAGATAAAAACACAGATCGGTTGTTTTTGGTTCATTTCCTCAGCGCACTGACGTCGGGCTCTGGTGCTGCGTTCAGGTGCATTTTTCAACTCGGAAAAACATTTTCTCGAGTTCAAGAGGAGTTCATGAACGCAGCGTAAACGTACGACAACAGTCAAACGACACAAAGCCGAGTGACACACAGGTGCTTGAAAAAATCATTATCACAATTATTTTGGTGAATATTGAAATCACGATTATTCTAATGATTATTTTTTTGTTACATGATGCATTTATTATAACATTATTATTCTCTCTCAAAAACTCTGGTATTGATATTTTAAAACTTCCAAATTGAAAATAAATACAGGCTACAAATCTGATTATTTTAGTAGTTTATTTTATAATTTTATTATTATTGTTGTTATTATTATTATTATTATGTATTTGTGCAGCACGTTGGAAACTGTTTTTTTGTGAAATGTGTGACAGAAATAAAGTGGATTGGATCTAAACCTTAGAGCAGTTTGAATAAAATAAACATGAAATAAGGCAGAAAAAATATAAATAAATTTACAAAAAATATAAATAAATAAAATCAATTAATAATAATAAAATAAAACCCATACATTTATTTTGGATACATAAATATATCCAAAATAAACTCTATATCTCTACTGTATATGTAAAAAATTAAATAAATCTATTTATTTATATACAAAATATCCCAAAATAAAGTTTGTTAAGCTTTAAATCATTTCAACTTGATTCTATGAGTTTGGAAATCGTTTGACTCACAAACTGAAATTTTAATTAAATTCAATTAATTGCACAGACTGAGGTGTGAAGCAGCTGAAGCTTTGTGGAGGTTAAAATCTGATTACGGTTCATATTTTTTAGAATTACAGGAGCATTTCATGAAGTCAAAAGGTCAAAGTCACAAAGATCTGCTCTTTTGTTTCCACTACTCAATAAAAAACTGTTAGTCGATACAATAACAGTTAAACATCCTGAGACACGGGACAATTCGATTCTGAACTCGATTCAGATTGTGGAACATGATTTCTGTTGCAGACTTGCTGTCGTCTCTGACCTTGCTGGATCAGTGCTTTCTTGTCGTCTTTGGACAGAGCGTGGTCTGGTTTGAATCCACAGCCGGTCCCCGTCGTCTCTCTGCACCGAGCGTCAAACCTCTGCTTGTGATGAGGACGAACAAACTGATAAAAACCTGCAGCAAATAAAGATAAATAATGAAAACATCCAGCACAGAGTTAAAAACGCACAAACACAAAAACAACTGAAAATACAGTCTGTGTCTGAATGTCTCCCTCAGCCCCTCACCCCTCACTCACTCTATAAATCAGGTGTGGGCAGTTCTTTTTTCCATGGGGCCACATGAGAAACAGAAAATATTGTGAAGATCCAAATTCTGCATAATATTAACTGTATTTCTTTATAAAAATCAGTAAATCTCATTGTTCTGACGAGCTGCTCAGACTGGGAAAAGTTCTGTCTAATGATGTTCTGATTAAGCAATGAAAAAGTGAAGCTGCCGAACAAAAAATGTCAGTAAAAAAACACATCTTAAATAAAAGCAGCGCAGCTTTAGTCCAGGCATGAGGTCAAATGATAAAATGTTTATTTTGTTTTTCCAAATGAGCTTAAACGGGCCGGACAGAGTCGACCAAAGCGCCGGATGTGACCCCGGAGCTGGACAAGGCCCAGGTCTGAGTTAAAGACTCGTTCACAGAGATTCAGATTCAGGTCACTGCAGTCGGGTCACGTGACTCTGGCTCTGGGTGAAAAACTTGTAATAAAACTGGATTGGTGTCATAAATAAAGATCAGATCAGATTGGGACGTAAGCGTTTATGGACTAATAATAATCACCAAGTTTAGTCACGATAGGTTTCATGTAAACAGACTGGAATATTTGATTTTTGTCTGAGATGTGGAAATTATCGCTTTATAAACAGCTCGAGTTAAAGTAAACAGCAACACGAGCACGTTTTTACCATGATGTTTTGTGTTTGAAAGTGTTTTATTCAGAATCACAGCCACAGACCAGAGTTTTTATCTGCTTCATTCACAAGAGTCTCAGTCCAGTGAAACTCTCCCAGTCCACTGTGCTCAACACTGACCCCTAGTGACCAGCTGGACACTACTTACTCACCAACTGGACATTTGGACTCCACTGAAAATGGTGTGGCCCCTAAACAGCGCCCCCTGTAGGGAGTAGTGTAGAGCGTTACCCCGCAGGAGGCTGTGGGTGTTGCCCCTGTAGGGAGCAGTGTAGTTACCCCGCAGGAGGCTGTGGGTGTCGCCTCCTGTAGGGAGCAGTGTAGTTACCCCGCAGGAGGCTGTGGGTGTTGCCCCTGTAGGGAGCAGTGTAGTTACCCCGCAGGAGGCTGTGGGTGTCGCCTCCTGTAGGGAGTAGTGTAGAGCGTTACCCCCGCAGGAGGCTGTGGGTGTTGCCCCTGTAGGGAGCAGTGTAGTTACCCCGCAGGAGGCTGTGGGTGTCGCCCCTGTAGGGAGCAGTGTAGTTACCCCGCAGGAGGCTGTGGTGTTGCCCCTGTAGGGAGCAGTGTAGTTACCCGCAGGAGGCTGTGGGTGTCGCCTCCTGTAGGGAGCAGTGTAGTTACCCCGCAGGAGGCTGTGGGTGTTGGCCCTGTAGGGAGCAGTGTAGTTACCCCGCAGGAGGCTGTGGGTGTTGCCCCTGTAGGGAGCAGTGTAGTTACCCCGCAGGAGGCTGTGGGTGTTGCCCCTGTAGGGAGCAGTGTAGTTACCCCGCAGGAGGCTGTGGGTGTTGCCCCTGTAGGGAGCAGTGTAGTTACCCCGCAGGAGGCTGTGGGTGTTGCCCCTGTAGGGAGCAGTGTAGTTACCCCGCAGGAGGCTGTGGGTGTTGCCCCTGTAGGGAGCAGTGTAGTTACCCCGCAGGAGGCTGTGGGTGTTGGCCCTGTAGGGAGCAGTGTAGTTACCCCGCAGGAGGCTGTGGGTGTTGGCCCTGTAGGGAGCAGTGTAGTTACCCCGCAGGAGGCTGTGGGTGTTGCCCCTGTAGGGAGCAGTGTAGTTACCCCGCAGGAGGCTGTGGGTGTTGCCCCTGTAGGGAGCAGTGTAGTTACCCCGCAGGAGGCTGTGGGTGTTGCCCCTGTAGGGAGTAGTGTAGTTACCCCGCAGGAGGCTGTGGGTGTTGCCCCTGTAGGGAGCAGTGTAGTTACCCCGCAGGAGGCTGTGGGTGTTGGCCCTGTAGGGAGCAGTGTAGTTACCCCGCAGGAGGCTGTGGGTGTTGGCCCTGTAGGGAGCAGTGTAGTTACCCCGCAGGAGGCTGTGGGTGTTGGCCCTGTAGGGAGCAGTGTAGTTACCCCGCAGGAGGCTGTGGGTGTTGCCCCTGTAGGGAGCAGTGTAGTTACCCCGCAGGAGGCTGTGGGTGTTGCCCCTGTAGGGAGTAGTGTAGTTACCCCGCAGGAGGCTGTGGGTGTTGGCCCTGTAGGGAGCAGTGTAGTTACCCCGCAGGAGGCTGTGGGTGTGTTGCCCCTGTAGGGAGCAGTGTAGTTACCCCGCAGGAGGCTGTGGGTGTTGCCCCTGTAGGGAGTAGTGTAGTTACCCGCAGGAGGCTGTGGTGTTGGCCCCTGTAGGGAGCAGTGTAGTTACCCCGCAGGAGGCTGTGGGTGTTGGCCCTGTAGGGAGCAGTGTAGTTACCCCGCAGGAGGCTGTGGGTGTTGGCCCTGTAGGGAGCAGTGTAGTTACCCGCAGGAGGCTGTGGGTGTTGCCCCTGTAGGGAGCAGTGTAGTTACCCCGCAGGAGGCTGTGGGTGTCGCCCTGTAGGGAGCAGTGTAGTTACCCCGCAGGAGGCTGTGGGTGTTGGCCCTGTAGGGAGCAGTGTAGTTACCCCGCAGGAGGCTGTGGGTGTTGGCGTCCTCTGTTAACACGGTCGTCTCCTCCAGCAGCGTCTCCAGGTCGTCTGTTTTCTTGTAGGTCTGAAGAGCCTGGACCATCTTCTCAAAGTTCATCTGACTCAGAGATTTCTTCATCTCGGCCAGAAACGCTTTGGCTCTGCTGGTTTTACCTTCTTCAGACGCGTCCGAGCTGCTCCTTTTCTGCGTAACAAAGACACGCTGTGATGACATGACGTGTGAAGATGTAAACTGTTCGTGTGTGTGGTGTTACGGGCACTTGAAAGTTCTTCAGTTTCTTTTTAAAGTGCGACTAACCACCTAAACTTCACCCACAACCACATTTTAAACAGAGCTGCTAAACTGGGCGAGCTCTGGAGGAATAAAGAACAGTGTGATCGGTGGAACAGGTAAAGTATCTCCACTTCAGACTCAAACTGTTCATGATACAAACATCTGGACTGCAGGGGGGATCTTCATGTTTCTCTCTGCACAAACCTGGTCTTGGACGAGTTTGATTTTGCGTTTTCCTCCTCGGAGTTCGTCGTCGATCCGTTTGTCGTACTGCAGAGACAGAGTGGACAGTCGACTCGCCTGCACCACACACAACACACACACACACACACACACACACACACACAACACACAACACACACACAACACACACACACACACACACTCTGTGAGTTTTGAGTCGTGTTACAATGACAGTTGTGTTTTGTTTCATTCACATGTTTGAGTCACACTTTATTATTCGTCTGTCTACATGTCCACAGCTCCAAACGCTCTGCTCCACCTTGTGATGTCATGAAGTGGTAGTTTAAGTGAACATGTGTCTGCCGTCAGTGGCGACTGTGACACATTTAAGTTCATGTTTTGTAATATTCAGATTTACACACAGTAAAATACTAAAAAACAATATATAGTAATAAATTTGTGATATTTTTTCAGTAAGTTCATGTTAATTCATTTCATTTTATTTTGGTTTGATTTGTTCCTGTTTCCAGTTACAGTGTTGTTTCTGGGGGGACGTTTTAACAGGTGCACTGCCTTTTTCATTGGAGACAGACGAGGAGCTGCTCTGACCTCTGAGCTTAAAGGACATGTTGTTTTAAGTTAAAAGTTTCTTCAAGAGGACGTTCTAAGACTGTTGTTTTATTGTGTGATTATTTTTCTGTGTGTAAAAGCTGTGTGACTTTGATATTCATGTGTAATTAAGTGTCTAGTGAAGGTGTTTTTTTATTACTTTATTTATATGTGAAAAAACATTTTTAGGAGGGTTAATTTTAAGTTTCGTATTTTATTTTCTATAGTTCTTACGGCGTCGGCATTGAGAGGTTAATTTACATGTGAAAGACTCCAGTCTGAATAAATGCTTGTTAAAACCCAAGAACGATTTTGAGTCTTGTTTAAACTCGAGGAGAGAAACAGAACAGCTCCTTTTCTCTTTAGTTCAGTCGAGATCAAAACTCCAGGACTGAAATGATCCAGATGATTCTAGTGAAGGTGTGTGGAGTTTAAAAACACAGTGGAGAACTTCCTGTGTCGCCACATGATGACATCACAAGGTGGAACAGAGTGTTTTCAGTTTGAGAAAAGAACTCAGCCTAAATGTGCAGGTGTGTGTTAAACATGTGAATGAAACAAAACACAACTCCAGGTCTGTGTGCGAACAGAGCAGAAAACAGAACATGGAACGTTCTTGTCTGGTGAATAAATAGAGCTGCATTATTGTATAAATATGAGCACAGATAATAATAATAATAATAATAATAATAATAATAATAATAATAATAATAACAGTTGTAAATCAGTGACTCCTCATCAGAGACTCACCTTCTCCTCGCCCGCCCAGGACCCGTCGTCCTGCCCCCCCCCACCCTCCTGCTCCAGGGCGTCCAGCAGAGACGTGGGCCTCCTGTGGACCTCGGGGGCTCCACACTCGTACTTTATGCAGATTTTGGCCATTCCACTGGACCCAGTGTGGTCGTCTGAAACAACACACACTGTAAATACTGTGTGTGTGTGTGTGTGTGTGTGTGTGTCGATATATGTTGTAAAACTGAGCACAGACTGACCCAGCCTCCTCCTCTTCAGACTGGGGATGTGAGCGTCCAGAGCTGTGGCCTTCTGTGGCTGCCAGCTCAGTGTGCCCAGAGCTCTGTGTGCCCCCTGTGCCCCCTGTGCCCTCCCGCCCGCGCTGGAGCTGGTATCTGCCCCACACACTGCGGTCTCTCTCGGGGCTGTGGGCTTCTTCTGGACAGGGGGTCTCTACAAAGAACAGAACACATATTTAAGGTTTATGATCCATCACAGCGCACACACAAACACACACACACACACACAAACACACACGTACCATTTTGAGTGCCACTCTGAAGAACTGTGACACGTCCCGGACCACGTTTCCAAAGGCGTGATACGGGCGCACGTACGGCCGGACCCACTTGGGCAGCTGAGCGACGGCGTTGGGGCCTTTAAACCTGATGAAGAAAAAACACATCATACAACCATCCACTGTTGTGTACATGTTGTGTTGTTGTGTACATGTTGTGTTGTTGTGTACATGTTGTATTGTTATGTACATGTCGTGTTGTTGTGTACATGTCGTGTTGTTGTGTACATGTCGTGTTGTTGTGTACATGTTGTGTGTGTACATGTTGTGTTGTTGTGTACATGTTGTGTTGTTGTGTACATGTTGTGTTGTTGTGTACATGTTGTTGTTGTGTACATTTGTGTACATGTTGTGTTGTTACATGTACATGTTGTACATTGTGTACATGTTGTGTTGTTGTGTACATGTTGTTGTGTTTGTTGTGTACATGTTGTTGTGTGTTGTGTACATGTTGTGTACATGTGTTGTTGTGTACATGTTGTGTTGTTGTGTACATGTTGTGTTGTTGTGTACATGTTGTGTTGTTGTGTACATGTTGTGTACATGTTGTGTACATGTTGTGTACATGTGTTGTGTACATGTTGTGTACATGTTGTGTTGTTGTGTACATGTTGTGTTGTTGTGTACATGTTGTGTTGTTGTGTACATGTTGTGTTGTTGTGTACATGTTGTGTTGTTGTGTACATGTTGTGTATGTTGTGTACATGTTGTATTGTTATGTACATGTTGTGTTGTTGTGTACATGTGTGTGTTGTTGTGTACATGTTGTGTTGTTGTGTACATGTTGTGTTGTTGTGTACATGTTGTATTGTTATGTACATGTTGTGTTGTTATGTACATGTTGTGTTGTTGTGTACATGTTGTGTTGTTGTGTAGTTGTGTACATGTTGTGTTGTTATGTACATGTTGTGTTGTTATGTACATGTTGTATTGTTATGTACATGTTGTGTTGTTGTGTACATGTTGTGTTGTTGTGTACATGTTGTGTTGTTGTGTACATGTTGTGTTGTTGTTGTGCGTTGTACCTCTCGTCACAGAGGAAAATGGCTCCGTAGTCGTCCTTGTGGCGGATCACTCGTCCTACAGCCTGGTTCACCGCACGGAACGCCTGCTGCCGGTACCACTCCTGCCCCGTCAGGTACTGATCCAAACACAGAGAAACCAACAACAGGGTCAGGTACTGATCCAAACACAGAGAAACCAACAACAGGGTCAAGTACTGATCCAAACACAGAGAAACCAACAACAGGGTCAAGTACTGATCCAAACACAGAGAAACCAACAACAGGGTCAAGTACTGATCCAAACAGAAACCAACAACAGGGTCAAGTACTGATCAAAACAGAAACCAACAACAGGGTCAAGTACTGATCCAAACACAGAGAAACCAACAACAGGGTCAAGTACTGATCAAAACTCAGGGATCAGGATAAAGCAGGATGATTTTATTTTACGCAGAACAGTGGAGCTGAACAACGATCACCGACTCCACAGTTTCTTTCTCATTCATTTTTCTCATTGACTTTCAGGAAGAAAATATTAAAAGTTAGAAAACTCAGACATAATCATCTACAGGGTGACTAATGACCATAAGGATCGATAATTTTATTTAAAATCTGTTTCTGAAATTTTACAAACCGCAAAGTTATTAAAACATTTCACAGAATTCTGTGTTTTAAATGTGGACAAAAAACAACTGTGTTATGAATATGAGTTAGCAAAAGGGAGGCAGTGATATTCATAATAATATCGAATCGTTCGATACTGGTGTTATGATTCGATACACGTGTTCGGTGGATAAACACGTGTCCCTGTGTGGACATTTACAGTGGGCTGTTTACTTCTCTAACCTTGACTCCGGGGGTTTTCTTGCGGCACATCTCGTCCAGAAACTGCATCTTGAGGATGACGCGAGGGTCCATCTTTGGGGGAAAGGGGAGACCCGTGATGATGACTCCACGACCGTACGAGTCTGCGAAGTCCAGACCTTCACTGGCCTGAGGAGAAACACACACAGATCAGAACAACGGACTGACTTAAAGCTCCTATATCACACAAAACTGACTCTTGTGAACTTTAAGTCATGTTCAACACCCTCAAAAACAAAAAGTTGAGTTTTGTTTCATTCACATGTTTGAGTAAATCTTTATTATGAGTCTGTCTACATCTCCAAAGCTCCAAATGCTCTGTTTCACCTTGTGATGTCATAAAGTGGTAGTTTTCAAGTGAACAGCTCAGTTCAGTTTAGTTCAGTAGAGATTGGCAACTCCAGGTCTGAACTGATCCAAATGTTTCTAGTGAAGCTATACGGGACTAAACCAGGTCTAAACCAGGACTAAACCAGGACTAAACCAGGACTAAACCAGGTCTAAGCCAGGTCCATGTGTGTATTCTAGTCTCTGTGTTCTTATACTTGTTCTGATTCAGCTCCAGATCGTTCTAAACACATTCAGGAAACGTTCTGTTCTGTCAATGGGACTTTTTTAGTATCGATACCTGAGAAACACGATTATCTAGTTTCGATTCTAGTTCTAGTATCGATTAGTGTTTGAGCGCTCATACATGCGTTGCCTTTTAGCCGTGTGTGCTCAGGTGACCTCTCACCTTTCCTCTGCACACGGCGAAAAAGCTCCCGCCCTTTGACACCGGGTCGTCCACTTTGTTGTAGTATCCTTCGATCACCTGCAGGGGGAGTGGAGAGGGTTCAGACAGAGTTACACCGAGAAGAGTGAACAAACCGCGGCCGTGGAAGAAGGACTCAGGTTTGTTACTTGAGGAAAAGTGCAGACATGAAAAGTTACACAGTGCAGCTTTAAGTACAGTACTTTATTACTTTGACAGACTCCAGTACCTCAGTGAAGGTTCCTTTGCCCTTTGGCTCCACAAACATGGGCTTCACGTTCTCGATGCGGTCGGCGTGACCCTTCTCCTGCACAAACACACGGTCAGAACAACGAGGAGGAAGAGGAAGAAGAAGAGGAGGAGGAGGATTTTATGAAACGTGAACGACATCTGAACTTACTCTCCAGAACTCCAGAGTTTTCTCCATCAGTGGGAAAGAAGGAAAAAACACCAGGAGGCCGTGAGGAACCACACGACTCAGGTTTGCTGCAGGAAATCAAAAGAACATTTTAATATAAATAAAAAAACAAAACTGAATCTGTGGAGTTTTAAATCTCACTCTCACCCACAGTGCTCCCCAAAGACGCCATGTTTTCTGGGAGGAACCTACGACATAAAATAATAAAAACAGTTAAGGCGGACATTAAATTTGATTCATTCATTCATTTATTGGTCGCTTTTTAAGAGTCCGGGCCCCAGAGAGAAGCCTCCATGTTTTCACCTGAGAACATGAAGGAAACCTACACAGACACAAGGAGAACATGCAAACTCCTCACAGAAAGACCTGGGTGAACACGAGTCAAACCCAGAAAACTTTGTGTTGGGAGGTGAATGTACAGCATAAAATAAAATTAATTATAACAGTTACACCTGGTCCTGGTCAGTTTCATAAACAATATGAAAAGTGTAAATGTATTTATGTATCAGACCTGAGTCTTGTGCAGCTCCAGAGTCACACACAGTCCTTTGTTTGACTCTGATCGGCCCGTTTAAGCTCATTTGGAAAAACAAAATAAACACTATATCCTTATACCTCATGCCTGGACTAAATCTACATTGCTTTTATTTTAGAGATGTTTTTTAATTACATTTTTTGCTTGGCAGCTTCACATTTCAGAACATAAATTCCTCTCAGTCTAAGCAGCTCATCAGAACAATGTTTACGGCTTTTTTTTTTTTTTTATAAAGAAATACAATTAATATTCTGCAGAACTGAGTTCAGCATTTTGGACTCCACAATATTTTCTGTTTCTCATGTGGCCCCAGGGAAAAATGCAAATACAAAGATGTGAACTCTGTGTTGGACTCATCTCATGTCCACAGGTGTGAACAGTGAACAGGTTCTGGACTCACCTTCGGTCAAACGCTGAGGTCAGCTGGACTCCGTCTGGGCCTTTCTCGATCACACTCACAAAGATCTGGTCTCTCTCGATCACGTGACCGTTCTCCAGACGAATGGGGAAGTCTCTGAAACAGCAGCACAAAGACCTTAAGAAGTCAATCAGTTTTCTAAAGTTCTCAGCAGGGCCAGTGGCTTGTGTTGCTCCATCCATCCATCCATTTTTTTCCGCTTATCTTTGGTCGGGGTGTGGGGACTTATCTTTCTCTTGTTTTTAAATGTCACTAGTCAATTAAAGATTTCACAAATGTGACGTTTGAATTAGGTCGATTGAAAAATTTAATCATAAATTAAACCTCGTGACGATCTGCTCTTTTGTCGATATGGTCGTATTGATTCTCTGTAACTTATAAAGCTGTGATTTAATATTTTATTACTTATTTTTCTACCTTATTTTAACTTGTACTTTTACATTTTTATAATTATGTTTTATTTCACACCTGTCTCTTGCTCTTTTTTGCTACTTATGTTTAGAATTTAATATTACCATTTATATTTTTTACTCTCTGTTATTATTTTATTGTGATGTTTGAGTGTCTGTGTCCAAATTATTTCCCTTGTGGATCAGTAAAGTTTGTCTAAAGTCTCAGTCTAACTGTGTAACTTCTCTGGTGCAGAGTTCACCACCTGCTCGTCTCCAAGATGTGATTGCTTTGCCTGAATGTTCCACAGTCTGGCATTAAGCATATCCATCTCCATCAGGGCAAAGGTACAGATCAGATCATCGTAGGAATACATAAAAGACAGACCTGTTTAATGCCACACTGTGCAACATTCCAGCTGAAGTAACTCCAGTGTTCATCAGTGAGCAGTCAGGATAAAGTAATCGTCCCGTCTGAACTCACATTCTCATCTCGGAGGTGAAGGAGGACAGAGGGGAGAGGGTCCCGCTGGTCAGGATGATGCAGCGGACGCCCTGGTTGACCAGCTCCTGCATGCTGAAGCCCGGGGAGAAGCACCAGTAACTCAAGATGTTCCCTGTGGAAGAAACAGACTCTGAGAGAAGAACACAGGCTCGGGAGAAAGAAAAACCTTCTGTTGATTCTCTGCAGCTGGTGTCACCAACATCTCCTGGAGGTGTGACGAGAACAGAAAGCTCTAACTTATTTACTTATCTGATACTCAAGTTAGATCTGAGTTTTATCTGAACAGTCTCCTCAACAGGACCACGAACGCTCTGACTGACCACAGGCTCTGGGAAATGTGCTGTTTGAATCCATTTAGTATTTTGTCTTGAGTTTTCAGAAACTCTTAAAAGTTATTTGACTGGGTTTGCTCATGTGTGCGTTGCGTCACCATGGTAACTGATGAATATTCTGTCAATAGAATTGCATCATAGAACTATGGAGTAAGAAAACTTTCAGAAACATTCATGTGAATATTTGTCTGTAGTTGAGCATAAAATAAATATTGTTAAACTCTCGAATGAGTCCAGTCGTACATAAAATGTGTTGTGTATTTTATCCATCAGAATATGAATTGAAAAGTTACGACGTCAAGAATTACAATCACCAAATGAAAATTTACGATTACACTTTGTTCAGTACGAACACGAATTCACAGATGCGACTCGATTGTCAAAAATACATCGTCACTTCTTTATTCTGATGTTTATTCTGATTCTCATTCCACAGTTTACGAATATGTATTTTATGCTCAACTACAGACACCGATTTCTATCCAATGCACATGAATATTTCTGAAAGCTTCTTACTCCATACAGAAACCCCCAGCGTGACGTCTCTGCGCAGTATAAACAGATGACCACCCACACAGAGGCTGAGGAGAAACTTCTCACCTTGTTTCTTGGACGTGGAGGAGGCCCACAGATCTACAGACTGCTTCTTCTTCTGGGACATGTCCTGGTGAATATGAACCTGGAGAAACGCTCAGAGTCAGAACAAGATACAGCACACAACACATTCAAATTCTGGATACACTTTTTCATTCAGAAATGTTTTTATTTTTCACATTGTACAATCTCAGTGAAGGCATCAAAACTATGAATGAACAGGACGCTGTAATGGGTGGAGACTGAGGATTTTGATTCCAAAACATAAAACATATTTAGATTTTTCTTATCTATATAATTCTATACAACTTGCTCTTTCTTCTATTTGAAGTTTTCAGTTTGTATAAAAACAGAGAAAGTAAAAACGGTGAAACAGACAGACCTTAAAGTGAGCGGTGTTGGCCTGCATCAGGAGCTGTTGGTCTTTCTCTGCAGGTTCACCACAAAACACCAGCTGCAAAAACACAAATTTACAGTGAATGGAAACATCTGGACTCTCAGTATCACAATGTGAGTTAAAACATCTGAACTGAGAGCAGATTCAGACCATTTGTTCTGTCAGTTTTACCTTTTCCATGATTGTTAAAGAAGAAGTGATTCTCTTTAGTGAAGACAGTGACAGAACATGTATAGAAACGTGACGTACCTGGATGATGTCGGCGAGTTTCTGCAGCCCCGTGGTGTTGAGGAAGAGTCCCTGCTCTGAGGAGACAGACAGACGGGGAGACAGACGGAGGGAGAGTGACAACATCAGATGAAGTCAAAGTTCTTTAGATGTGGCATTAAACTGATCTATTTCCACTGAGACAAGTGGACGACACCACCAGAGACAAGAAGTTACAGGTCAGATTTAGGTAAGTAGCTGTGCATGGTTTTCCAATGTATTTTATAAACTGTGGAACTTCCCAAGCAAAGCACTGACCTACAAAACAGGTGTGAACATATGAGAAAAGTGGCATTTAAATTAAAATTATTTTTTTTAATGAACAAAAGATCTAAAACAACCTTAAGATTTCAGCTCCTTATAAGTGTGAAGTAGGAAATGAGCTGGAGTTTTAAGTGGACGAACAGCAAAAGGAAAATTCCATTCTCCCTTTCTGTTCATAGATGGATTGTCTTTCCAAACAAAAACAACCTCTTTAACTCTCCTCTCACACCGTTTCTTTTCTCTGGCTCAGATCTGTCCCTCACTGTCCTCAGAGGTCAGTGGGGTCGAAACGGAGGTGTACATCAGACTGAGGTCCTGTGCTGCTCTTTCATGAGTTGAATTTTCCTTTTGCTCTGGAGGACACACACGGACATAAGTGGAAGGACAGATGAGAGAGACTCACGTCCGGTCAGATAGGAGGTGATCTGCTCCAGAGCTTCGTACACGGGCGTCTTTGTCTGGTAGTTTAAGTGAGCTCTCCCCAGCAGCTCGTAGATGAATCTGAACACAAAAGACACAGAGACATGACACGACACTGAAGCACAGGAGAAGTATGTGTGAAGACGTGTTCTGAAGGAGAGTGTAACGTCGCCCACAACGTTCAGCTCCAGGCAGATGAAGCTCATGAGGCTGCAGTTACAGGAGAGAATTTGGGTCCGAATAGGAACTGATTTACAGACAAAATAGCGAAATAAAAACCGCAGGATCATGTTGAGCAGGTTAATAAGAACATTTTAAAATGACAAAAATGATGAGAATCTGTGTGTCATTCGTTCAGTCGTTTTTCAAAATAAAACCAGAAATAAGAAAACAAAAAAGCAACTATTTTCTTCATTATTTGTGTCGAAAACCAAAATGAAAAAACAGATAATGATAAGTTTTTTCAGTTTTCGATTTTGTGTTTAAATGAAAAATGGAAAAAACGGATAACGGACTAAACCAGGACTAAACCAGGACTAAACCAGGACTAAACCAGGACTAAACCAGGACTAAACCAGGACTGAGTGTCGGGACGGGCCCAGAGGTGCGCCCGCGTAGACTGACGGTTGATCAGGACCGAGACCAGGACCGAGACCAGGACCGAGACCAGGACCGAGACCAGGACCGAGACCAGGACCGAAACCAGGACCGAGACCAGGACCGAAACCAGGACTGAAACTGGGACCTGGTTTGGTCCGTTATCTGTTTTTTCCATTTTTCATTTAAACACAAAATCAAAAACTGAAAAACCGAATCATTATTTGTTTTTTCATTTTAGTTTTGAAGACAAATAATGAAGAAAATTGTTTGGGTTTTTTTTGTTTTGTTTTCTTATTGTTGGTTTTATTTTGAAAAACTAATGAACAAATGACACGGATTGACGAGGCTCAGTTTTTCAGTGTAAAGTCGATATGAGCCGAGTCGATGGAGCAGGAAACTCTCCCACGCTCACTTCCTGTTTAGATCACAGCGGTCAGTGGGTTAGTTATGTCCATTTATAAAAACAGTCGACACAGAACACGTACATGCCCGGTTTGGTGACGCCCTTCCCACTGGGCACTTCGTACGAGTCTATGGCCGCCTCCAGGTCGAGCAGGATCTCTGTGGGACACAAACATCAAGAGACACAAACATGAGACACAAACATGAGACACAAACATGAGACACCTGTGGGTCACACTGGGGTCACACTGGGGTCACACTGGGGGTCACACTGGGGGTCACACTGGGGGTCACACTGGGGGTCACACTGGGGGTCACACTGGGGTCACACTGGGGTCACACTGAAGGACAGACTCACGTTTCACTTTGGCGATGGTGGTGATGTCCATCTTGAGTCCTGTAGGAGACAGGAGCAGGGTCAGAGTGTGTCCAGAGTGTGTGATGGTGTCTCTGAGTGTGTGACATGTCTGTGTGTGTGATGGTGTCTGAGTGTGTGATGGTGTCTCAGTATGTGTGATGGTGTCTCTGAGCGTGTGTCCAGAGTGTGTGATGGTGTCTGTGAGCGTGTGATGGTGTCTCAGTATGTGTGACGTGTCTGTGTGTGTGTGATGGTGTCTCTGAGTGTGTGATGGTGTCCGTGAGTGTGTGATGGTGTCCGTGAGTGTGTGATGGTGTCCGTGAGTGTGTGATGGTGTCCGTGAGTGTGTGATGGTGTCCGTGAATGTGTGATGGTGTCCGTGAGTGTGTGATGGTGTCCGTGAGTGTGTGATGGTGTCCGTGAATGTGTGATGGTGTCCGTGAGTGTGTGATGGTGTGTGTGTGTGTGATGTGTGTCGTGTGTGATGTGTGTGTGTGTGATGTGTGTCTGAGTGTGTGATGGTGTCTCTGAGTGTGTGATGGTGTCTCTGAGTGTGTGATGGTGTCCGTGAGTGTGTGATGGTGTCCGTGAGTGTGTGATGGTGTCCGTGAGTGTGTGATGGTGTCCGTGAGTGTGTGATGGTGTCTCGTGAGTGTGTGATGGTGTCTCTGAGTGTGTGATGGTGTCTCTGAGTGTGTGATGGTGTCCGTGAGTGTGTGATGGTGTCTCTGAGTGTGTGATGGTGTTCTGAGTGTGTGATGGTGTCCGTGAGTGTGTGATGGTGTCTGTGAGTGTGTGACAGTGTCTCTGTGTGTGTGACATGTCTGTGAGTGTGTGATGGTGTCTCTGAGTGTGTGATGGTGTCTGTGAGTGTGTGATGGTGTCTGTGATGTGTGATGGTGTGTGAGTGTGTGATGGTGTCCGTGAGTGTGTGATGGTGTCCGTGATGTGTGATCGTGTGTGATGTGTGATGGTGTCTGTGGTGTGTGAGTGTGTGTGAGTGTGTGATGGTGTCTGTGAGTGTGTGGTGTCTGAGTAGTGTGTGAGTGTCTCTGTGTGTGACATGTCTGTGAGTGTGTGATGGTGTCTGAGTGTGTGATGGTGTCTGTGAGTGTGTGATAGTGTCTCTGAGTGTGTGACATGTCCGTGAGCGTGTGATGGTGTCCGTGAGCGTGTGATGGTGTCTCTGAGCGTGTGATGGTGTCTGTGAGTGTGACAGTGTCTGTGTGTGTGACATGTGTGAGCGTGTGATGGTGTCTCTGAGCGTGTGATGGTGTCTGTGAGTGTGTGAAGTGTCTGTGAGTGTGTGACAGTGTCTCTGTGTGTGTGACATGTCTGTGAGTGTGTGATGGTGTCTGTGAGTGTGTGAGTGTCTCTGTGTGTCTGTCTGAGTGTGTGATGGTGTCTGAGTGTGTGATGGTGTCTCAGTATGTGTGATGGTGTCTCTGAGCGTGTGTCCAGAGTGTGTGATGGTGTCTGTGAGCATGTGATGGTGTCAGATGTGTGATGTGTGATGGTGTGTGTGTGATGGTGTCTGTGATGTGTGATGTGTGATGGTGTCTCAGTATGTGTGATGGTGTCTCAGTATGTGTGATGGTGTCTCAGTATGTGTGATGGTGTCTGTGAGCGTGTGTCCAGAGTGTGTGATGGTGTCTCAGTATGTGTGACAGTGTCTCTGTGTGTGTGACATGTCAGTGAGTGTGTGATGGTGTCTCAGTATGTGTGATGGTGTCTGTGAGCATGTGATGGTGTCTCAGTATGTGTGACAGTGTCTCTGTGTGTGTGACATGTCAGTGAGCATGTGATGGTGTCTCAGTATGTGTGATGGTGTCTGTGAGCGTGTGATGGTGTCCAGAGTGTGTGATGGTGTCTCAGTATGTGTGATGGTGTCTGTGAGCGTGTGTCCAGAGTGTGTGATGGTGTCTCAGTATGTGTGATGGTGTCTGTGAGCGTGTGTCCAGAGTGTGTGATGGTGTCTCAGTATGTGTGATGGTGTCTGTGAGCGTGTGTCCAGAGTGTGTGATGGTGTCTCAGTATGTGTGATGGTGTCTGTGAGCGTGTGTCCAGAGTGTGTGATGGTGTCTCAGTATGTGTGACAGTGTCTGTGTGTGTGACATGTCAGTGAGCGTGTGATGGTGTCTCAGTATGTGTGATGGTGTCTGTGAGCGTGTGTCCAGAGTGTGTGATGGTGTCTCTGTGTGTGTGTGATGGTGTCTCAGTATGTGTGATGGTGTCTGTGAGCGTGTGTCCAGAGTGTGTGATGGTGTCTCAGTATGTGTGACAGTGTCTCTGTGTGTGTGTATAGACCTGTACCTGAGCTGAAGACGTCTGCGCTGAAGCTCTCAGAGGGACCTTCTCCTCGGTTCACCTCTTTGGCCTGTTCTGCCAGGAGTCGGTCGACGGCCGTGATCGCCGACGCCACGTCGTACGGCGTCAGGTCAAAGGACGTGGACTCTTCACACGTCCTCTCCTGTGGGACAGAGACACACAGAAGTGACCGTGATGTTTGGTTTAATATTGTTATTATTTACTCATGTGGGACAAACACACAAACAGTAACACAGACAATAACGCCCATGATACATGGTTTATTACTGTTGTGTAGAAGTGTAACGATCTCCAAGTCTCACGATACAATATCATCCCGGTATGAACTTCACGATACGATATTTATTGCGATATCGTGGGAAAGCTCACGATTAGGGATGTAATGATATATAAATCTCTTATGAAATTTTCACAATATAGGTCTCACGGCACGATATTTATTGCAATATTTTGTGGAGGCTAAACAGTTAAAACTGTTAAAATGCTTCTTTTTCCTCTTAAAATGCCTTGACAAAACTTAATCCAAAGAACTAAGACTTAAAAGTGTTAGAACTGTTATTTCTTCTTGTCGTCTGCACTGAAATGGAGCAAAGGATCATGGTCTAAGTAGTTCTTCTGTCTTTTTTTTTTTAGCCGTTGTTGCACCAGAACTCTTCATTTAAACAACGAGACTTGAAATTTGATATTGTGATGGTCCACGATGTTATTGTGAGAACTTTGACGATACGATACCACGATATTTCAGTTATTGTTACATCCGTACTGTTGAAGATTCACTATTAGAATGAAATTAAAGAAGCACAGAAAAAACCTGAACGTTTGATTAAAGTGCTCTCTGTTGTCCCTGTACGGAAATTTTCTTCTGCATTTTCAGTCCACTTTATTTACACAGCACATTTCAGGTTCCAAAGTGCTGCACAAACACACAGTAAGAACAACAATAATAATATAATGATAAAATAAACGCTCAGATTTAATGGGTCTTAAACATTCGCCCCGTCCTTCACCGTCCTTCAGTGTCTCTGGGGCGTCTCCTCACACTGCTCAGGACCAGGAGCTCCAGATCTCGGTCTAGTTTCGGTCTGGACCTCAGCTGGAGGATTTAAACTGTACATGTTTTAGTTTGATGGAGGAAACCAGAGGAAATCCAGACACGGGGAGAACATGCAAACTCCACACAGAGGCTCTGGCTACAAACCGCACTATCAGATAAAGACGAAGAGAAAAATCCCTCGAGCAGTGAAATGTTCCAGACGTGAACCTGACAGAACTATAATAAAATCTAGACTCTTACCACATTATGAGCTTCATCAAAGATCACCACGGCTTTATTCAGCTCGATGTTGTGAGCTCTGCGACTCTGAAACACAAATGTATCTGTGAGGATGTTTGTACTGCACTGAGTAAAGTGTGTTAAACCTCAGGCTGTAACGATATCCAAGTCTATCATCACGGTATAAACCTCACGGTACGATATTTATTGCGATATCGTAGGAAAGCTTGTGATATGGTTGGAAGGCTCACGGTATTACATAATAAGACTGCCATTATAAAATGCTTTGACCAGACATTTGGTACAACATTTATTGTCATATTCCAGGGATGTACCAATATCCAAAACTCACAGTACCAAATTATCACGATATGCATCTCACGGTACGATATTTATTGTGATAAAATACCTTGACAAGATTTTGGTGCGAATTATTTCTGTCATAATTCCAAGAATTCAAGTAAAAACATATTTCTTCATGTTGTCTGCACTAAAATGAATCATGGGAAATGTAGTTCCCAAAGTTTATAAGTTGTTACTACTGTAAAACCATGAATTTAAGCAAAGGAACTTGTGATTTGATATATTGTGATGGTCCACAATATTATTGTGACTTTTGATGATATGATATCATCATATTTCGGTTATTGTTACATCCCTAGTTAAACCAAAAGCAAACAGCTCAGCCAAAGCACAAAGATGTTAAGCATTGTTCATAAATAGTGTGCTTACTCCCTGTGTAAAAAGACACATTTATTATTATGAGGATGTGACATCGTTGTGTTATCTTCTTCCACTGTGTGCCGCTGTTGCACCGTACAAAAATGTTCAATGAACAAATACGCAGAACTAAACAAGCTAAAGAGACGAGCTGGTCAAGCATCGTTTATTTGCATGTGAAGAGTTACTTCTGCTGAAACACCTTAACAAAAGGGATGGAAAACAATGGTTTGGTTGGAGGAGCAGAAGTGGAGAAATCGTCCAGAACTGACTTAAAAACTGAAACAAACAAACACATTCAAACCATCGCCTCGTAACTTTAGCTACATGCACCAAATGTATAAAAATTATATCCAAGTCACATGTATTGAACTAAATATTCTGCTGTGACAGAAGCGGCGGTGGTTTGTACCTTGGGGTCCAGGAGGTAGTTGTAGGGCATGAAGATGAGGTCGGCCTGCTGCTTCAGTGAGCGGGACAGATAATACGGACAAACTCTGAGGAGAAAACAGAACTCAGACTCTGCACGGCTCTGGCATCTCCTGATTATTATGATCATACTGTGTCAGATAATTTTACCATGTGGATGAATAAAGCTCATTTGAGTTTAAGTCTGATCTCACCCAGGCTCCAGACCCACCTCTGCTTGGAGCCATATTTCACCAGGTCTTCCACGTCCAAGATGGAGTTCACCAGGTCACGGTCAGTGCTTTTCTCTAACAACATAAGTCAGAACATTTAGACAGATAAAAATTAAAATAATACAATTGTTCATTATCGATCCACTTTAAAACACAGGTTAGAAATGAGCCTGATCCAAAGTGTCGGTTTTACCGTCCACGTTGTTGTAGTAGAGGCAGGACCTGGTGGAGACTTTTCCTCGGCACATGTGAACCTGGAACATTTAAACAAAAAACAAAAAATAAAAAATAAAAACTGGTCAGGGTTAAAACACTTGGACCTTTTTGTTACTAAACTGTGTATGTGATGTTTTAATCACAATGTCTACAGGTCACAGACTCTACACAGAAGAGGACTGACGGAGTGAAACATCACCCACAGAGTTCAGCTCCAGGAGATTTTGGAGCCAGTTTCATTTTAGGAACAGGAATTTATTAATGGACAAAATAAAGTAAAAACCCCAGGGTCACGTTAATATAAACACTTCAAGGCCAAAATGACGAGGCTCACGGCAGCAGGTACAGAGAGAGAGGGGGGCAGGGCTGAGGATCATTAATTGATTGATTGATTGCATTTATATAGCGCCTTTCAAGATACTCAAAGCTCTTTACAGTTCATTATTCAGTCACTCCACACTCATTAAGAAGTTGCCGATACGATGCACAGGCCATGATACGATACAGACATCGATACAGTGAGCTTTCAGTTCGATTCGATACAGTTTGTTGTGGGAATCTTTACATAATCATCTTTAATGACTTGGCTAAACATTTATGCGAACGTGTAAGTCGTCTGAATCATTGTTAAATCAGACCTTATCCTGTAGTCAGAGGCCTCATAGGCGCCTCTCACTTTCAGACTCTTTACCTATTTATTGCCAGTGACCCAGCATCATGTTGACCGTCCTTGTAAGATGGTGTTTTGTTTTTTAACATATTGCTGCGTGGCTCGTCCATGTGCCCCAAGCCCCTCGAGAGGTATAAAAGAATGTATACTCGTTTTGACAATAAGACGAGGGAGAGACGCTTCTGTCAGCACAACTGCTTTAATGAATCAGACTCTTTGATTTAAGACAACTTCTCAGTTTGTTCTTCATTCTAGAAATTCCAAAACAGGTTCAATAAAATAAAGATTAAGACTAAAACTCGGATCGAGTCGATGGAGCCGGGAGCTCACTTCCTGTTCACAAAGCGCTGGTTACCGTGTTAGGGACGTCCAGAATTTAAATATCCAGAGTCTAGGCTGAAGTTGGTTGAGTTTTCAGTGATTTTACCTTGACGTGGTTGCTCTCTTGGCGCATCACCTCGGGGTTGACACACAGCTGCTCTCTGGAGCCGAGCACACACACTTTGGGCCTGAGCACACACACACAGACACACACACAAGAGCAGAGACACACACACACACAAGAGCAGAGACACACACACACACAAGAACAGAGACACACACACACACAAACAGAGACACACACACACAAGAGCAGAGACACACACACAAGAGCAGAGACACACACACAAGAGCAGAGACACACACACAGGAGCAGAGACACACACACAGGAGCAGAGACACACACACAGGAGCAGAGACACACACACAGGAGCAGAGACACACACACAGGAGCAGAGACACACACACACAGGAGCAGAGACACACACACACAGGAGAAGAGACACACACACAGGAGAAGAGACACACACACAGGAGAAGAGACACACACACAGGAGCAGAGCGTGAGACTGAAACACTGAACTCAACTTTATACAGTTTAAATCTCCGTCATATTACAGAAAAAAAAAAAAATAATAATAAAAAAATCCCACTATTTCAGGTAAAGCTGCATTATGTAACTTTTCTGGTTGGGCGTCCGTCACCTGCTTATTTCCATGGATACCTCAATGCTCTGGAATGTTCCGCAGTGTGACATTAAACAGCTCGACTTTACATTTATTCAGTTACAGGTGGTTTTATTTCTCCCTTGAAAAACAGACACTCTAACTGTGAGCGGAGTCGCCTCTCCACAGATCTGACCTGGAACTGCATCTGGTTTGGTCTCCATGACGATAGAACGGTTTAATGGCATACTGCGGAACATTCCAGACAAATGGAGAAAAGCGTCTGATGGATCCTCCACCAGAAAAGTTACACAATGCAGCTTTAAAAAGTACCACGATAAATATATAAGTGGATATATTTCGTATCGTGACAGGCCTGGATGAAACTGTTTTGTGATTTTGCCGCTAACACGTTTCCATGAAGCACTGCTGCGTCTGAAAATGGTTGTGGACTTCTGGAAAAAAGTCCACAGCCCAATAGCCAGTTCCATCCATGGGGAAGCAGTAGAAATGGTGACTCTAATAATTACTTGGGAACTGTGTTTGATTCTTCTCTAAGGTTTGATAAAAACACTGAGCACATCGTCAAACCAGGACAGCAGCGGGTTCACTTGATGCAGAAGCTCAGCTCTTTTAATGTATCATCTAACATTTTAAATAATTTTTATCATTCTTTTATCGAAAGTTTGTTGACCTTTTCTTTTATCTGTTGGTTTTATGGATTATCTGTGAAGGACAAAAAGAGTCTCAACCAGATTGTAAAAGTTTGCAGCAAAATCAGTGGTGTTCAGACGGAGGATTTGGCGTCTGTGTGGAGAC